TTGAGAAGTAGATAACCGATACCGGACATCCTGTATATACATATATAATGTACAGATTAATAAAATGTCAAAAACATTAAAAATTTTTTTTACTAATCCTATTATATAAATAGAATTTAAAATAATTTTTCGAATTTATAAACAAAAATTTAGTTTAAATTTATTTTTTGCAGATCAATCAATATCGTCGATAGTATTTTTTCCTTGATGCTGCTTGGAGCTCTAATCTATTTTGGCGTACTTTTTGCCTTTTATGGTTTTTATATACTTCTGTAAGCATTTTTCTGTAATATAATTTATATAATTTTTTGTCTACAGATAATTGACATATATGTTATTTATCAAAATATTTTCTACTAATATTTCCTATTAATATATTTCATGTAATAACAATTGTGTAAATAAATTTGTATTTAAAAAAATCAATATTAAAACAATCATCAACATCAATAAAATCAATATTAACATCAATCATATTAATATCTTAACAAATTTTTTCAAAAAACTAAATATAGATCATCACGATATCGATTGTTTTATTTAATATTTAAATATTTAATGTATAGTTATGTATATTTTTAACTTTTCTCTTTAGATTATGAGTCAACTTTCTGTGCCTCGTTTAATTTTTATCATAACAGCATCTATCAATACATTTGCACATACATGTCTTTATTGTGCCGTAGGAGAAATATTAGTTATCCAAGTATGTGGCTTGTTATTGCTAGTATCAGTTTTATAGACATAATATAAATTATAAAATGTCATAAATTTATTTATTTTAACAAACAACTAATTTGTAATTTAATATATGATTTGTGTACGTCCATTATGAAGTGTGAAGGAATTTATAAAGCTGCATGCGAGTATAAATGGTACAACATGGAATCAAAAAAAGCAAAAAATGTATTGTTTATAATGATGCAAGCTCACAGATCGCTGTATCTTACTGCAGGAAGAATATTTCCTATGACGATGTCTACGTTTTGTAACGTAAGTGAGTTATATTGTAACGTCGCAGTTGTAAAATTACATTCTTTCCATATTCAATAAAATAGAATACATATATAGAAAATGTATGAAAAATAAATTATAAACAATTACTGTTTAATTATTAATCATTAAATTAATCATTATTTAATTTAATTATTATTTTAATCATTATTTTATTTTATAAGTTTATAATGCACAAAAAAAGAATGTACTTATATCACTATAAATAACATATTTATCTATTAAAAATTTAAAGAAATTATTCTTGTCAATTTAATAAATATTAGACTAATTTTCTTTCTTAGTTGTTAAAGACATCAGGTGGATATATGTCAGTCTTGTTGGCACGTGAATAGGATATCATGAATAAGAAATAATATCTAAAAGAGATCAAGACTATGTAATTTTAAGGAATTATGTATGTATTATTTCAACTTAAAGAAAAAATAAGAAAATTATATATTATTTTATTAGTAACTTTGCATATTATAAATAAAGAGAAAATTTTTTAAGGTTTTAGTAGAATATTATTGTTCATGCGTAAATTCTTGCATTATTAATGACAATTTAGTTTAATTGTCATATTTAACTGTAATTTATTATTTAACTTTGTAATAATGTGATTAATAATAAATATACTTTTTTATTTTAAAAATCATAATTATGTTGCCACAAAAAGAAAATAAAGATTTAGAATTTTTCCTTTTTTTTTGTTTCAGTACGCAATCAACGAAAAATCAATTACTATATTAAATCAATATATATTTTGTGCAAAGAATAATAGTAAATAAATTTTTTCTGTCACTATGCTATACACAGTGTTATAAATATTATAAATATATATTATAATTATTCTTTCATACAATTTCATCAATAATATTTTTCAATAATATTTTTCAATAATATTTCAATAATATTTTTATTTTTTATGAAGATAATATTTAAATATATATTTAATTTATATTTTGCACAAACAGTTACTGTTCTTTATATAAATCTTTTATATTAATATCTGATACCATGTGATATATTAGTGTGTATGAAGGTAAGAAACAATTAACAACGACATTCATATAACTCTCTTTAAGCAATATAAATCAAGCTCTTATTTGGGAGAGTGCACACCCTCCCAAATAAGAAGGGAGGGTGTGCGTCACGGCGGGACCTGATCACGAACCAGTCGTGAAAATTCGTAATTATTTTGCGAAAAAATACCACCTCACCCAGGAATCGAACCTGGATCTCTTGCTTACCGGACAAGCATCTTATCCTTTCGACTACCGAGGCATGATATTTATTGCAAATAACGTATTTAGAATAACACGTCAACAACACAATGATACACATATATACATATATTACAATATACATATATACATGTATTCTCTCGGATCGAGAGAAAGCAATTGATCGAGAGTTGAAAGCGACAAGACAAAGAACAT